CAGACAACAATAACATGCAGCAAAAATAACGTTAAAAAGAAATAAATTTTTTTTCTCATATTCATCACCAAAAAAATAATTTTATATAAAAAAAATATAACATTAAAACCAATCCAATAAGCTCACCAAAAATATATAACATTAAAAAGAAAGAAATATTTTTTTCTCATATTCATCACAAAAAAACATATTTTTGTAAAAAAAATAAATAAAGATAAAAAACGATCCAAAAAGCTCACCAAAAATATATAAAATTTTTAAAAAAGAATATATTCTTTTTTTCTCATATTCATCACAAATAAATTTTTTTTATTAAAACAAAACAGAATTTTATTAAAGAACAAATTTCCCTAAAATCGAGCCAAAGAACACATAAATTTTAGAGTAAAAATCAACTCCAAATCTTTCATTTTTTGAACAAATTGATACGAGGATAAGATAGATACTTTAATTAAGATTCAAATGCCCCAAATTTCATGAAGGTTCATTCACTATTGGGATCTTTATTAAAAAAATATTAGATTTTTTACTTCACGGAAATTTCAGGAAAAAACATAGAAAAAAATATTTAATCAATAGTGAATCAAAATAACTAGTTTATTTGATACATGAGGCCTTTATGATCAAACTCCAGTGATCAATTCGATAAAATTCGATCAATTGATCGATCAGAAATCAATTTGTTTGGATAAGAAACAGTTCTTCGAGTAGCAGTACTTTGGGCCCAAAAAAACTTCAAATCTTCATCATTTTGGAAAAATTGAAATATGTGAACGTTTAATCCTTCAACAATGAATCAAAGCCTTCCATTTTTATGAAAATCTATGAGATATTGAAGCTACATTTGATTGAATGGCGGAAATTTCTAATTTTAAACAATCCCCATTTCAATCCGCCAAGAACTCTTTGTTTTTAGAATTTTGATTCAACAATCGACGATTTATAGAAACTTTTCGGTATATAACATCAATAGTTGACAAAAAATAACAAAAATATGAAAAAAAATGCTGTAAAATCTTGTTATGTGAAAAATAGTCGGCATGTATCGAATAACGGCCGGTTTGAACTAAAAACCACCAGTTTGACCTCGAACCGGCCTGTTTTGGTGCGGATTATTTTTTGGAGAGTGTCGTTTTATAAGGCGCGAGTAAAACCGGCCCTAAATCGCCACCCCTCAGGTAGCGATCTAAGCGGCCCGGTTTCCGACCACTGCATTTCTTCCTTCTCTCTTTGTTAAAAAAAGTTCCGACCAGAAGGTCGGAACTCGAAATGAGAAGTTTGTAAAAACTTTTGCCCCCATAAAAAGTGCCCTAAAACTTCCTTGCTGAAAAAAAGTGCCCCAAACCAGAGCTCTCTTTGCACTCAGCCGCTCAACCAGAGCCCTCAACTAGAGCCCTCTCTTCACACTCAGCCGCTCGCTAGGGTTTACGGAAGACGACGGATCTCTTCCTTGAGCTCTGATCCTTGTTATTGAGCTCTGATTCTTGCTATTGAGCTCTAATCCTGGCTAGGTTTCCTTAGCTCTGGTAAGGGTGATTCATTTCTTAACTTTTGTTTTCTCTCTCTCTAATTTAGGATTGCTTCTATTCGATATTGCTTTGCATTTTTTCACTGCGTCGTCTTTCTATTCTCTATTGCCATTAATTCGCTAGGAAAATAGTTTTCTCTGTCTAATTTAAGGGTCCTTGTATTGAATACTGGTTTGAAATGAATCTTCATTTCTTTGTTTTCACTAGTTCATGAATTATGGGTAGGCTTGTTTGTGAGGAAAATGGTTTTCTCTCTCTTCTTTAGGATTGATTTTATTGAATACCGGTATTGATTTTGGAACTGGGACGTCTTTCTATTATCTGTTTTGAATAATTCGTGAATGCTTCTTAGCAATAATTTAGGAGTGCTTGTTCTGAATAATAGCATGAAATTTTGAACTGGGTCTTATTTCTACTCTCTGTTTTGTTTAATTCATGAATGTGGGTGGGCTTACTAATTAGTAAAATGGTTTCCTCTCTGTTTTAGGATTGCCTTTATTGAGTTCTGGTATGGAGCTTTCAACTGAGTCTTCTTTCTGTTCTCTGTTTTGATTTAATTCATGAATGTGGGTGGGTTTGATTCTTACAAAATGGGTTTCTCTCTCTAATATAGGTGTGATTTTATTGCCTAATGGTATGAAATTTGAACTGGGGCTTCTCTCTATTTACTGTTCTGGTTAATTTATGAATTTGAGTGGGCTTGCATGTTAAGAAAATAGTTCTCTCTCTCTAGTTCAGAGTTGCTATTATTGGATGCTGGCAAGAATTTTGAACTGGGTCTTCATTCTATTCTTTCTTTCAGTGAAGAATGAACTTGGGTGGGTTTGCTTGTTAGGAAATTGGTCTCTCTCTAATTTAGCAGTTGCTTTTATGGAATACTGGTATTTTGAAACTTTTATCTTCTTTCTATTCTCTGTTTCGATTAATTGTTGAATATGAGCTTGCTTGCTTGCTAGGTAAGTGCAAATGAGCTGCAATTTAACGAATTTCTTGGTTTTCAAATACAATGGAGTTCATGCCAAATAGTTTGTGCATGAACAAGAATACATGAACACTTGTCCTTTCTCAATGCAATATACGGCCTTCTTGTTCTTACTCTTGTTAGTATTTTGATTTTTCAACAGCTCCCTTGGGCTTTGATACGTGTTTTGCATATCATGTCTCAACTGCAGATCTCTTATCGATTAGAAAGATTGAAAGAACTACATTTTGTGATTGAAGTTTTGTCTTCCTAGAACAATGTGATAATGAAAGGCCACTTAGGAGGTCATGGTATTGAAAAAGGGGTCAACATTATTACTCAAGGTAAGGAGGTCTTCTGTCTTTGTTCTTCTCAATATGAATGGAAGGAGTGGGGATAGCAAAGAATCGAAAGGAAGTATGGCGGTTCCTAAAAAGAGTTTGAAGTTTTTAGAAGATTGAAACATGAAGAGGATGTAAATGTGGCTTTAGAGCATTGCTAAGTTAATAACCAATTCAAAAGGGTTCAAGCACACCTCTCTCACATATCAACTGATGATAAAGAAGCTCGAATTTGCAAAGGATATGGATGGGGTGCAATATCGTTTACAACAAATGAAATTATAGGGGGATCTGTGCTCTGAAGATATGTGCATTGGTGTGATCAAAGCTTATGGGCGCCTTGGAATGGGAGAGCAAGCCTTGAAAACATTCTACCGAATGCAAGATTTCCATTGCAAACCCACGACTAAATTATACAACCATCTTTTAGATGCATTGCTTAATGAGAGCAGGTTCCAAATGATCAACCCAATTTACCGTAACATGAAGAAAGATGGAGTAGAGCCTAATGTATACACCTATAACATTCTACGCATTGTGCAAAAACAATCGAACTGATGCAGCTCACAAGTTACTCACTGAAATTTCAAAGAAAAGATGTTCTCCAGATGTTGTGAGTTATACTACTGTAGTGTCTGCCCTTTTTCGACAAGGGAAATTCCAAAAGGCAAAGGACCTTGCAAACAGTTTTACTCCCTCTATACCCATTTACAATGTGTCGATAAACTCATTGTGCAAGGAATTGACTATAGAAGAAGCCATTCTTTAAATAAATGAGATGGGAAATCACTGTTTAAGCCCAAATATTATTACTTACACTACAATCATTGATACTCTTTGTGAGATGGGGAAAGTGACGTTCACTTGCCTTCTTTGCTCAAATGTTTGAAATAGCACAATATGTATTTTTCTTGCGAAGTATATTTGTGTTAATGTGGCCTTGTGTTGAAAGAATCCAACAGGGTGAATGACTTTATTGATTATGATTGTATCATATTTTATGTATAGCTATTCATATACATATCGAGCCGGGATGGACCTTATTTTGTGGCCACAAATTTTGAGTTCTCGTCAAATGTTGTGTTTAGTCAATTGCATTTTCAATGATGTATGTTTAAACTTTTACAGGTTATTGTTGAATGGGCTCGTTTTGTACACATGAATTGTGAATGTTGCTTGACATGCATCACAAATGTTTTAAGAGACAACACACAAATATTGTGTGCCATTATAATCTTAGAGAGAAAGATAGAACACACAAATGTTTTAAGGGACAAACAACAATGTTGTTTAACTGTTGAATGACATATGTTTTTTAGGTTGGGATATAGATGCATCAGTGGTGAATGTAAGCAGTGCTCAAGTTATTACGGGTCATTGTTGAATGGGCTGATTTTTTACTGCTTGCATTGTGCATGTATGTTTGTATGCTGTGTTGAAGCTATTATAGCACAATCCAATAGAATACAAGAAACCAAATCCACAATTGCCTTGGCCGTCGATAGATATGAGTGTGCACGTGTGTGTAGGTGTGTGTGAGGAATAACAATAGAGCGAGAGAGTTTGTAATCACTTGAAGAAGAAAGTCATCAACAACCTACTTATGAAATTTAAATACCTATTCCACTTCATATTTGTAAAAAAACTTAAATTGTATACCTACAATAGTTCGAAAAATATATTGATTTTTGTTTTGAGACAATCGATTAAAAAACTAGTGATTTGATACACAATATTGAATTGAGGTTATGCTTGACATTGTCTACAAATTGCTTCAATTTTGAGGTGCAATGAAATTTATCATGCAACATTTGCTTCAATTGATATACAAATATATATCTCTCTAAGGCGCTTCTCTCACTCATCAATAAAACCCTCTCTCATAACACACACTAAGAAAAAATTTACATAAGGATGCAAGCTTATGATATAGAACTACGTATGCACTTCAAAAAATCCATTGGAAATGGTAGTTTTAATGTTGAAAAACCCTTTGATCGATCATCTCGATACCGATCTGTATGACTATAAAAAATAAAATGATTTTAAGTCTAAAAAATAGTGCATTTTACAACATATTATCTACACCGTCCATTTTCAAGATTTTCATATGTTTATAGATCAACTTGATTTTAACCCTTTTTTAAATTTAAAATTTTATAATTAGAGATAAAAATAGATTTTTAGATAATCCTAAAAACATTTTACATCTAAATTATACACCATGATAAAATTTGAAGGTGCACCTTACCTCTACACCTACGTATGGATGCATTTATATGTCAATTGTATTTTACTTTCAATTGATATTGTATCCCAAAAAATAATATTCTACAAATTAGTAAAAAATATATAATATCTAGGTCTCAATTTTAAGATATTGTATCCCAAAAAATAATATTCTACAAATTAATAAAAAATAAATAATTTTTGGGTCTCAATTTTAACATTTTACACTTTACACGTTGCTTATTGAAAGCTAATCCAATAAACTTCTTTAACTTCCTAAGAGGTTATCAAATTCAGTAATCAGGAACTTCTAAATTTCTCAAGAGGATTCATTAAACTTCCTTAACTTCTTAAGAGGTTATCAAATACAGTCTTCTTAGCTTCTCAAGAGGTTATCGAGCACATGAACTTTCTAATTTCCCAAGGAGGTTATCAAATACAGGAACCACCCAAGGAAGTTATCAAATACAGAACCAAGAATTTCTTAAGTAACTTCTAATTTAGAGTTCTTCAGGAACTTTCAATTACAGTTCATGAACTTGCTTACAATTACCGATATAAGAAGAGAAGGGCTACAATTCATGAACTTGCTTCCAATTATCGATATAAGAAGGCATCATGAACTTGCTTACAATTACCGATATAAGAAGAGAAGGGCTACAATTCATGAACTTGCTTCCAATTACCGATATAAGAAGGCAAGGGCTACAACCACCCAACCACGCAATTACCGATATAAGAAGGCAAGGGCTACAACCACCCAACCACCCATGAGCAATTCCCTGCTTTATCGAAGTCGTCAAACAACTGGAGGTAAATTGCAAGAGTTGTTCTTTTAGATGAGTTGGCAAATATGATTGTGCCAACCAAGTAAAAGAGATAGGTACGTGTGTCTTCCACACGTTGCAACTTGCCTTTTAAATAATTGCCCATACCTTGTCCTCAACCCAGTATGGCTAATCCACATCAATTTTTCCTCTTTGGGGCAATCGCCCAGATACCTTTTAATGAGCTCCCTATAAGTTTTTGGCCTGATACCCGCAACGGGTTTGCTTGTAAGAGGTAATGCAATATCCGCGATACATCATATAAAGTTGGACCCATGTCCCCAACGTTTAGGCGGAAGCTATTTGTTTGTGAACACCATGTTTTTATGAAGGCCTTCAACAACGTGCAATCGATTTTGAAGATTCCCTGTATCCATCAATGAGCCCAAGCCAGTCTTTCTGATTAGCTCTATTTGTCGCCAATCAAGCTTCCATTTTGATAGGGCTTGAGTGGATTCAATTATACGAAACTATCTTTTTCTTGTGAAATGAAAGTCACTAGCATAATAAGTACTCATTGTAGACAATGTAAGAATATTAAAAGAATAAAAATTTAATAATATGATAAAAATATGAAATACGAAACAACAACTAAATTAGTTAGATGATAATAAGAACATCATACCGCTCCTTGATCCCTAGACAAGCTAGATTGGGCCTCTAGTCCTTCGGCACCGTCTATGCCTTGCATTGCTAGATTTGAAATTTATAAAGATGACGAGATAATTTCAAACTACAGGTGTATCCACAAATTCAAGCGATGCATACTCGTCCAAGCACTCCTTCAACTGCACTTCACTATATACCTGGCGAATAATAGAAACGCCCACAGTAAGTATAGAAAAACCTACCAAAAGAAATATCATGACATTACTGAATGAATATGGAACAAAGGCAAATACCCCAAAAAAACAGTAAAGGGCAGTAATATGAGTAGAAAAGAGCCTCCTTTGATAGCACATTGGAAAGCTTAGTATAGATCAACATGAAGCCAATTGCCATAGGGAGATTAACCCAGTACATCCTTTGTATCTTTAGGAATTGTGTGATTGACGAGTATACAGAAGAACATCAAATCAAGTGGAATGACCTTTTTCAGATAAAGGGAAGGTGCTTTTATTGCTTATTTTTGAAAAAAAGGTATTTTTAAGAATGATTACTTTTAATACAATCTTTTTATTTTTGTTGAATCTAATTTGTAATTGTTGTGGAAAGAAAATAAATATATATGAGAAAGAAATTATAAACCTATTTCAAAATTGCTTTCGAAATTCAAGAATGATTAGGGTGCACACAAATGACCATACCAAAGTTTACTGAATATAGTCCAGCAAAAGTATTCTTTCCAACGATTAGACCTAAATGCCCCTACTCTTAAGCACTGACTCAAGCTTAGATGAACAATTCTAGGCAATAGGACCACTAACTTGAAATTCCGACTTCCCCTTTCATACTCCCATACTGATATAGTTTGAAAAAGAATAAAAAGGAAAAGAGTCGGTAAAAAACAAACAAAAGGTGAAAATGCGCAAACATGGTAGATAGGGAGAAATGAATCTGAATTGAAGAAAACTTGAAAATACAATAACCTTTTAGAAAGGGAGAGATGAATTTAAATTGGTATTGTTGATAAGTAACTACAAATAGGAGACTAGGACAGTGTAAGCTATGAATAATCAACAGTTCAAGATGATGGAACTGAAGCAACCCTGGAAAAAAAGGCCAAAGAGAAATGGTAGAATAATTTACCGTCAAATCTCTCTTAAAAAATGATCTCTGAAACTGATAATGAGAGCAAAAAGCAAAAAGGAGTAGCAGAAGATTCAAATTTAGAGCTTTCACCATTTAAAAATCAGAGAGAGAATTGAATCTGATCAGTGTGCGTTAAAAGTGCTCACCTTGTTCTCCAATAGAACCAACCTCCATAAGTCAAAGCTTAAGGGGAAGAGGATAAGAGGGAGAGATAGAGATGACGAGAGGGAGATAGAGACGGAGTGAGATAGCATTATTTACTTGTTGACCTATCGTCGTTTCCATGCCCTATTTCTTTCAATCTTCCCCACCCTCTCTCTCTATACAGTTTAGTTTAAAAAGAGGCGGATGACCGTTCCATGCTTAAGGGGAAGCATAAAAAGTTTTCCTTTAACGAAATTATTTACATGAATACATATTGCATATCTATATACTCCCCATTGCATATTTGTGTGCAACACACGTAATTCCACTAGTTATATATTAAACAAGTGCAAATAACTTTCTATTATTTTGACAAGCATACTTCCAAATTTCAAATTCGCCCTCTTGATTTTAATTTATAATATATTAATCCTCTAATATCTCCATAAATCTCTCCCTCTCAACCAGTCTTTAGTGTTTATCTTGCCCACTTCCATTTTTATTTCTCTTTAAATTGTTAAAATTGTTTATCTTGCCCCCTTCCAAGATGACTCCATATCTCTTTAAACGGTTAATCAACAAAATTTAAAAGAGAGAGATACAGAAAAGAGTACAAAGAGAGGTACAGATAGTACTTACCAATCTTCCACATCTCTCTGATTTTATGTTTAACTTTATCTTGCTAACTTCCAAGATGAATCATTCTCTCTTTAAACTGTTTAATAACAAATGAAAGAAAGAGAGTATACATTGATGGATTAAAGAGCCATAGATTGCCCATCTCTCCGATCTCATTTTGATTTGCCCATTTTTTTTTTTCTCTAATCTTCTCTCTCACACCTGATTCATATTAAAAATTTAACAGTTTTTTTTTTTAAAATAAGTGAATCTAATAAAAATTTTTAAAAAATAATTTACAAAATATAAATTGATCAAAATACATCCAAAACTTTTTTTTCACTTAAGCTTACCTTAGCTCTTCCCGTGTGTGTGTATGCTAACCTTAGCTTTTCTAAAGTTTAACTCAAAATACAATTGGAATTTGTTTGGCTTGTGGGCGGATCATTATTTAGGAAAGAAAGATGAATTGGCGTTATGTGTGTGTGGTTGTTCTGAAGTGTAACAACTCCTTAAAATACAAATTTCGCTTTGTTTGGCTAGTGGGCAGATCATTATTTGCAGCCAAAACCGATCGATTAGGAAATAAAGATGAATTGGTGGTTCCAACCACCTTTATAGCTTGCACTTGGCCTGTTTCCATCCAAAACAGGGATTCAATTCTGGCCTGATTGATGATGAAACCTGAAAACATACCTTGGCTATACATAATCTGAATCTGTATTGAAGATATTCACCCGCTGAAATGGGGGAAAATATCAAAGAAAAGTCATTTAGAATACAAAGAATTATACATAGCAAAAAAACGATGGATGGTGCCGATACAAGATGGCTAGAAGCATCATCTTAGGAAAATGCCAGAAAATAGAGCTTCATCTTCATTCAGACCCCTTCCAAGCTACCCAATTGTTTTCAACTGCACGACAACAAATCAATGGAATCTAAAGCTCTTTTTTCTTTTGATGAAGCAATGGAATCTTTAAAATTCAGATAAAGTTACATAGATGCTACAATCTGGCTATCAGAAAATGTATGAGACCTACCAGAAGTATGCTAGCAATGCACACCGACTGCTTGCTTGCTTTCGTGCTGCTGCTGCTTATCAAGGAAAGAATGGCTATGGCTAGTTTGCAGGCAGTTGAGCAATGGTAGTTGTTGTTCAGCTTCTTGAAGTTGGTGGACCAACATATAAGCTGGTGGTGGTGATGTTAGAAGAGATGGGACTTTGTGCTCCACCAACGTGTTGCTGTGGCTGCTGTTGATTCTGAGGTGGCTGCCACTGACCACCACCTGAATACTGTCTTGCAAGCAATCCTCCTGAAGAAGGTGGTGGTGGAGTCACCACGTCAGTTGCTGAAGTCGGAGGCAGCAGAGGGGTAGCCGTTGCCGCAGCTGCCACCAACTGGTGGGTAGGGGGCTGAGGAGCACCAGCAGCATAGGGTGGTGATGGCTCTATCGATGACTTCCACTGAGCAGTGGAGGAGATATTCACAGCATCCGTAGTCGTACTCACTGTTGTATTTTGAAATGCTGTGTTGTTAATTGCTTGAGGAGTTAGTTGATGCTGGTGATGATGATGATCCAGTGGTGGTGATTGCATTACGTGAGGGGCGTCTGAGCTTGCTGCTTGGCGGTTCTGCTGCTGCTGCAGCCTTTTCTGAAGAGGAACAGGAGGAGGAGGAGGTTGCTGAGACTGTCTTTGCTGCAAAGGCCCAAGAGTAGCAGGAGGAGGTAATGGAGGTGAACAAGTCGGCGCCACTAATTGTTGTTGAGTCGTAGTTATGACAGGAGTGTTGTTTTGTTGTTGTGATGTTGATGATGGCATTGAAAAGCTGCTGCTGCTACTATGATTGGAAGAGACTGGGAGCTGAACCCGAGCTATGGCAGGAGCGTGAGAGTTGGGGGTGGTGTTGGTACTGTCTGGACTAAACTGCTGTTGCTTAGATGGGGCAAAGGCAGGGGAAGCAGCAGAAGACAACCTGTTGGAGGAGAAAAACTGCTGCTGCTTCTGTTGATGATGAGGCTGTGTAGAGGTGGTGGCCGTAGTCGACGACGATGATGATGATGATGCAGGAGGAATTGCACCAGCTGTCGCTGGTGTTGGTGGCCCTACCATCATCCCACCACCACTATGGTGCATCATTGAATGCTTACCTGAATTTGGACCAGAGCCACCAGCAGTAAACAAATGTTGTTGGTTTTGCATCACATTGTTATTATGAATAACCGACAGCTCTCCCTTGTCAGCAGCAACTTGGTGATTCACTGCTGCCGAGAGGCCATTGAGGTGGTGAGAGGTAGTGGAATCAATAGCAGCAAGGTTCATAACGTTGCCTCCACCTCTTCCTCCTCCTCCTACAGGTGGTCCCTTCATTAGTTGCTGCTGCTGCTTGGTGTGCTGCCTCTGCTGCTGATGTTGCCTTGGCTGCTGCATTTGCTGTTGCCGCTGTCGATGATGATGCTTTAACAATTGGTTAGGACCAACAACTTGATGTCCTCCGGGTGGCACAGCCAAGAGCTGGTGTTTCTGTTGAGAAGAGATGGGGTTACTAATGGATGATGACGTGGGTGATGATGATGATGTCAATAAGGGCTGATGAGGAGGCTGTGGTGCCTGTTGTTGTTGAAGGACATGTTGGGGATGCTGGGGATGAGGATGGGGAGCCATAGATGATGTGCTGCCTGAAGTGAACTGCTGCTGAAGCCTCTGCTGCTGCTGCCTCTCTTTAGCAAGGCGAAGCATGTATGCCTGAGATTGACTCTGATTCGAAGGAACTTGCTGCTGCTGTATTTGATGAGAGTGGTGGTTGCTCACCCCAAGAGATGACGATTGTTGATTATGCTGCTGTAATGGGAAGGTCTGAGCTGGTGCAGCTGGTGGTGGTGGCGGCGGCGGCGATGGAGAGACCATCTGATTAGAGAATGGCGCACTCATATTGTTGAATGACGCATTCCCTTGCAGCTGAAGCTCTTGCATTATCATATGCCGCTGGTCCTCTGGAGTTTGACTGGCCTATAAAACGATGAAAAAGCTTTATGAGCCCGCTCTGCTAGCGTGTCAATAGATAGGCCAACATAAATACTTTCCACACAAGGGAATAATAGATGCAAAAAGACGAGAATCAACAAGATGGGAATATGGTTAAAAAAAATAACAATCAATAATTTAATGAAAGAAACAAATGTAGAAACACTCACCCGTAGAATATGTAAGGCTTCTCGAGGTCTTGAAATGGAGCTCCCCTGTCCTGGGTGAACATTTATGGGGTTGGGCATCCCACTGGCAGAAAGTATGCTGTTCGCTCCAGAAAGCACGGCAGGTGGCGAATTCATCCCCTGGTACCCTCCTGGCCTTTGCATGGGGGGCATTGATCGGTTCAACCGACAAATAATGCCCATATTATTCCCACCACCAGGTGGTGGCGGCATGCGAACACCCCCACAGTCTTGCAGGCCATTAGGAACAGCCAAATTGGGCTGCGGGATGTTTCTGCTAGAAACCAGTTGGTTGTACTGTTGCATTCGTTGCTGTTCATCCAAAGTAATAGATGATGTCGGTCTCATTAAGGGATAGCGCTGCAATTCCCTGTAGGTGACATAATATAGTAAATATATTAATATTGCATAATAGCAATCACATTAGCCAAATAATGATGGATGTCAACCTTGTAGGTGTGTTGAGTGCACCCGGAGGAGAAGGCAAGCCATTGCCGAGTACTGCACCACCCGATACTTGTAGCGTGGAGGCTGATGCTGAAGTAGATTGAACGTGTCCAACAGTTCCCTGAAGATTTGCTAGCCCACTCGAATGAGACCCCTGATAGGCATGTGGGAGGGGTTCTGGACTTGGTATAGTTGTATCAGAAAGATCAAGTGGGCTTTCATGAAGGAATATAATCAAACAATAATAATAGGTGAGAGCTTAGAAGACAGTTAATGAAATGCTAATGCAAACTCTTTTTTTTTTTGATAATGAAAATGCTAATGCAAACTTGGGAAAAATAATAATAGAAATACAATAAAAAGAAAAAAGAAAAAAAATGTGCACTTGGCCATGACACATAAGCAACTCACGTCAGATAGCCTCCATTTGGCAATAATAGGGAAAGGGCAAGAGCATGAGTATGGTGAACTGGAGTGCTTTTATGCTCCTGGTCAATCTGTGACATATCATAGAAAAATGCAGATATAGAAATTGTTAAATAACCAGAAAGACTTTCTGGAATCTGTAAGAGAATCAAGAGACAGAGAAAAGAGGAGAAAAAGAAGAGAGAGAAGAGAGACATGAGAGAGATATATGAGAGACTGTGAGAGAGAAGAGAGTGACATGAGGTTCAAAACTAACCCCTCATGCACATCGTAAACCACTTACATATTTAGTAAAAAATATGAAGGGGTAAAACCTCAACGAGCAACATTCCAGTGAGGAATCCTCAATGCATGTATAAACCGACTCAACACAGACTGCAAAAGCAATATTAGGCCTCGTAATTGTCAAACAAATAAACCTACCCACGACTCTTCTGTACACTGCCGGATCCTTAAACAACTCCCCCTGATCACGTAGTAATTTTGTATTTGAATCCATAGGCATATCCCCTGGTCT